GGAGCTGATTAACTTCACTATTAACAACGACATAACCCTTTCAACGTGCCTTCACCTCCACACTCTGCTACACAATAGAATATCACGTGATGCAGTGTTGCAAGCTCACCATAGTGCATGAGACATAGCTTTGCTCTACCTATTCAGTTCCCAGAAGACATAACCATATTTTCGAAGAGCATTGTCTCGAGGGCCACTGGAGCTAGCGAATCCCAGTATAATGTTGGAATTTAGATTTTTTTCTTTTTTCTTTCTTTTTTCTTTTTACTTCTTTGTTTTTGTTTCATTTCTTACTTTGCGTATTTGCTTTTTTCTCACCTGGATGTTTTTTCTGTTCTTTAACATTAATGATATAATAGATACATAAGGATGATTTGATTATGAGAGTGATAATTAATATTGAGAAAACATAGTAATGATGACAATATCAATGATAACAATAATGATGATGATAATTATAATGATAATTGTAACAGTAATAATGATGATAATATTGATATTAACAATATAATATTAATCATGATAATAATAAAATGATAAAAGGACAATATTAAAAATAACTATAAAAGTTTAAAATAATGATAATAAATAAATAATAATGATGATGATAATGATGATTATAAGTAATAATAATAATATAATGATAAATATAATGATGATGATGATAATGATAATGATAATGATGATGATGATATTGATAATGATGATATGATAATCATAATGATGATACTACTACTACTACTACTACTAATAATAATAATAATGATACAGAATAATAATAATGATAACATTAGTATTAATAATTAATAATAATAATAATATGATATAAACAACAACAAACATAATAATAATAATAATAATAATCATAATTAATAATAATAAATAAATAATAATAAAATAATAACAATAATATAGTAAATAAATCAAAATAATAAAAAACATAATGATAATTGGAATTAATGATATGATAATAATAATGATAATAATAATGATGAAATAATGTAATAATAACAATAATTGATAATAATAATAATGGTATAATATAATAATGAAAATGATATCACAATATGAAATGGAATAGTCTTAACAATAATAAACAATAAAATTATAACAATAATAATAATCATTATTATCATATTAATGATAGTAAATAAAAATTTATATCTTATATAATAATGATATTGTTATTATGATAAAAATCATAAATGATAATAATAGCAATAAGATACTTTATCATTATTAATGACAATGATGATAATTGATAATATTAAAGATGATGATATGAGGATGATGAATAATGAATAATGAAAATATTAAAGATTGATGATTGATTGATAATTCTAAAGATGATGATTATGATGATGATGATAATGATGATAATAATCATTATAACAATAACAATAAGGATAATGATAATAGTTATAATAATAATGATGATATAATGATAATGACAATGATAGTAATAATAAAGATGACAATAATGAATAATAGTAAGATTAATAATATTAATAATAGTAACAATGACATCAATAATAATGATAACAGTAACAGTTATATCAATACTTACTACTACTACTAACATTTGGTAATAAATAACAGCAAAACAATTATGCTAATGATAAATAATGATTTTAATGGTGATAATGATAATTATAATAATAATAAAATAGTAGTAATAAGAATAAGAATAAGAATAAGATAAAAGGGTAGGGGATAACAATAAATACAATGCTGATAATAATAACAGTAGCAGTGGTAATAATAGTAATAATGATAATGATATCAATGAATGTAGGTATGTTATCAATAATTATATTGATATAAATTATTTTGATAGTAATGCAATAATAATTTTTTTAACGATTATTATAGAACGAACGTAATTTGATAATGTACTACTACTGCTACTACTACTTTACTACTACAACTACGTCCACTACTAACTATTGGTAATAAACAGTAGCCAGTATCAATGATAATGATAATGATAAAAATGGTACTACTGATAATTATTATAAAGAATTAAAAATAGCAGTGACAATAATGATGATAATAATATTCAAATTGAAAAAGAAAACATCAATATTAACAATAATAACAACAATAATAATGATATCAATAATAAAAATGATAATAGCAACAGTGATAACAATAATGAAAATGATAGAAATAGTAGTAATATTAATAATGATAATAATAATAATAACATTAATGATAATAATAATAATGTAATAATAATTATTAATAATATATAATAATAAATATAATAAAATAATATATTAATAATAATAATAATTAATGATAATACAGTAATGATAATGATAATGGTAAATGATAATATATTTAATAAATGTTTGTTCCATAAACAGCTTTCGCATCGCGCAGAACAAACAAAAATCTAATCCGTAAAGGAATATCATTCCGGACAGTGTGTTTGAGCAGGAATTATGAACGTATACTGAGCTTATGTATGCATTTATGATATGCATTATGATGATTA